ACAACAACAACAACAACAACAACAACAACAACAAGCCCACCATAGCTATGGCTTCCCTCCTTCAGCCTTCCCTCTCATGCACAGGCTATGGCGGACTGATGAGGGCCCTGCCCTCCTGTACAAAGACAACCCAAAGCAGCTATGGTGTTGCCGATGTCCAAAGGACAACCCAAGAGCAGCTATGCCGCTGCTGACTGGTCCGCCATGCCTGACTCTACCTCGAGCTTCCTTGCTGCAGCGCTACCCCGACTGGGGCCTTTCGGATGCAGCGCCCAACAAGGTGATGAAGACGGTGTCCACCATAGCCAGGTAAGTGCCTCCACACTCTCCTACCATGCCCCTTCTTCCTCCTCCTCAAGCTGGACTGCTCGCCATAGAATGGCTGAACTCCAGCGGTCCCTTCTCCCTCCAAGCAGCGCAGTACCTCCAGCGCTGTGCTCCAGCATCATGTCGCCAATCCTTGCACACTGCAAATGAGGAAGAACTCTTTGCTCTTCCTGGAGATATAGAGGCCTACCGGCCTCCTGGGCGGTGACTTCCTAGGCCGAGCGGCCTCCCAGCAACCGGTACCTCCTCCCTTTTGGAGGGAAACATCATTGCAGCATCTGGTATCCTCCGGACAGGCCCTGGACCCGGGCTACTTGGACTGGTACCGGCCGACCTCTAACCTACAGGCTACCGCTACTAGGCCTCTAAAAATGGCAACTTTTTGTCTTCTTCTGCTCGGCCTTCAGTACCCGACACTCATACCACTACTCGAGTGGTACCGGCCTACCTGCTACTCAAGTGTTTCCCCCCTGCTCTAAGTGTCGCGGGCCTMCCCCCGCCACTTGACTGTCCACAGGTAAGTACCGGCCCTGCGGGGCCTTGCAAACAACAAGTACCCTTGCGGGTCACACACACTCAACTGACAAGCACTCAGACAGTCACGCAAAGCAACAGGTACGCACACACACACACAGACATGGAAATCACAGCAAGGGGGACGTCCAGCGCATGGCGATGCGCCCAGAGCCGCGGGCGCGGCCCCCGTTGTTCGATTTCCCGTCAAACGACGAAGCCGTATGACGGGGATTCAACGGAGTTGAATCTTCTCAACGGGGATTCAACTCCCGTTGAATGGGTTCAACGGGGATACAACGGATGGGGTCGGCGACAAACCCCTGTTTTTTTGGTTCACGTCGCCGGCGCTGTGTGCCCGGCGGCCGTTGCGCGCGATCTGTTGAACCTCGTTCAACGGGACCCCCCCATTGAATCGTTCAACGGGGATTCAACTCGGGCATTGTGCCCGCTCAACGGGTACAATCTAGTTGAAAAAATCCCGTTGTTAGTTGAATGGACACACAGCAGGCAGTTGCGCAGTACCAGTTGGTTGGAAGCACCGAGGCCCAGGCTGCCTTTCATTCCATGGAACTGAGGCAGGCCCTGGGCCGGATACACAAAGTGGACCGAGGCTGAGGGCAGTTGGGTGCTGGTAACCACCACAGGCCCTGGGCCTGTTTACTTCAGGCTGAGGCTGAGCCACGTGGGGCCTACCGGAAGCTTCTGGGCCAAGGTCCAGAACCGCATTACCGCACACAGCAGCAGGCCACTTCGATATAGAGAAGGGTTTGCCTACGCATTGGACATTCGGGCACTGGCTGCATGCTGCGCAAGCGCTACTGCGCTAACGCAGGCCACGCTCACATGCTCACGGGCGAGCTAGAAGGAGCAGGCAGCCATAGTCGAGCTGCGCTGCTATATGCTGGATGGGGCCATGGTGGTCCTAGGGTGCATGTGGCATCTGTGAGTTGGGGAACGAGGTTGTGAGTGATACGAGAGACATACCTGGTACTTGAAGTGTACGGCATTGTCCGAGATCTGCTCGTACTTCGGGGAGCTGTTGACGTCATCAGCGGCATCATAGAGTAGGCTAGATAGGATCTGCCATCTATAGTCTGGGCGTCGAGCTCCAGATAGGATATCAACATTGGTTCTTCATTGATGATGATGAGACTATTCCAGCATTGTCAATTATGAGCTTTTGGTGAGGCAATTCTGCTATTGGTTCGAGGTCACGACTATCGGGTCTCATGTGTATGATGCTGTTTGATTTCTGAAGTTCGCTATTGCTCATCTTCCTTGCAATTTGGTATCAGAGTTGTGGTTCGGTGCGCTAATCTGGTGCTTGTCTTCTGCCTAATGCGGTACATGCACGCAGTGTGTGCAGTGAGCGACATGTCGTGGGACGTGTGTAGTAACTCTAGTGAGGAGGGCGAAGATAAGTATGCGACCCAGGTGGAGAGGGGCTCGCCAGGAAGGCTAAGTGGTGAAGATTGGATGTTCGCAGTGTGATGAGAACTATTTGGGGTGTGATTGATACTGAGGTGGAACGGTGGTGCAATGCTGGTTGTGCCGAAGCAGCGATTGGTCATCACAATCAACATCGGGTCATCTGGTAAGAATATTTGTGGTTGGGGGCAGCTATTTTGAGGTATGTTGCACCTAACCTTATCTATCCTCTTTGACACTTCTTATAGTGAGGATGTGTGTTCTGTCTTGAGAGTCCTCTCATGTGAGGAGTCATGTGCGCTCAACCTTGAGAGTCGTTAGTCTTCATGTGGAGCATCTAGAAGGAGAGAGTGGTGTTATCTGAAGGGCCCTGGACGAAGCATTGGGTCAACATCACCATGCCAACCCACCGGGAGTAGAGCACGTATGGTTTGCTGCTTTGTCCTTTGTCTGCTCGCTGCGCTGTAGAGGGGTTCTGAAGGGCAGGCCAGCCCTATGGGACAGACGAGACCGGGCGTCTATAAATAAGCACCAACGGGGTACCTTCGATTGACAGTGATCGTCGTCCTGTTTACGATGTTAAATATTGCCTGAGGACTTCGGGGGCCGTCCATAAAAACGCCTCCTGATCAGCCAATCGGTCGGTGTAAGGCTCGCTGCACGAGAGGATAAAGACTGTGCAGGGCTGGCCAGCTCAGCAGGACTCGGGGCATAGGGGTGGGCCATGTGCACACCTTTAGACACGCACGCTGCCCGGATTGCTCAGGGACCTTGGCGACAAGAGACATGCAGGAAGAACAAAGGGAGGGGTAGATTCCAGGTGACAAGTTTGAGCAAGATTCCACTCTACAAACATACCCAACAAATGATTCTATTTTTTTTTTTATTAGTTAGATGTACAACCATTTACATCTCACAGACATCATAGTTTAGAACTCTTTTCAGTTCATTATGCTTCTGTTTGCGAACTAGTTAAAGTCAAAGTAGTTTCGTTTGTAGGAACATGAACTTACTTGTTGGACCCAAATATATATTCTCTCTGACGCAACCACCGATTAATTAGTTTGATTATTATAAATTGGTTTGTGCATTACGCTGTGGTAAGCATCAAGGAGTGCCTTAGTGCAGATTATGTACAGTTCTATTGCTTATAAGCAATAGGGATACCACTAGTGAGGACGGTCGGATCTTGCGATCGGCTAGACGCCCGATTGCCCACGTGGCATTAGGACCCGAGGGTGATAGGTTACTGTTCCACCAGCTTAGGGAGAGGCAACAGCAGCAGCGGAGAGCTAGGGCAGCGGAGGCCAGCAGGGCATTCACAAGTGAAGTCGCTGCTTCAGCAGCCATGGCAACCGCTGCGCAGCAGAGTTCCCAGGCCAGCAGTTCAGGGAATGTAGGGTCAACGGCCGCACAAACCTTGAGTCAGTCTACTGGCGTCATGACAAGCTAGGCATTAATGTTGACTTCCGATGAGATCGCCATACAGCAGGCAACACTGCAGGAGGCATAGCTACAAAAGGCCTTAGGAGAGAGAAAAACGGAGAAGGAAAGAATGATTAGAAGAAGAGGCAGGGTGCAGCGGAGACAAGCGGGCGTTAGTGAGTTAGAGAAGATAGACCTGACGAACATGGATGATGATGTGAGGACCCTACGGGCCTACGGACCGTCTTGCTA